GTCAGAGCATTTGATGTTCCAAAAAAGAAAGTACCCGCTAGTCGGAATTACCCCTATGGAAAAGCAACAAAAAAAACGTGCTTCGTGCTGCAGTGGAAAAGCGCCATTAATGCACAGTTGGACACAGAATCTAGAAAATGATTTGTATATTATCCAAGTTGTGATAGTATATTAGGAAAAATAGCCTTGTAGGAAATCTAAATCAATATACAATCTGAACACCAAGCCTAAATATAAAGCAAAAATGGGCCCATAATAATTGGACTGCACCAATGAGCAATGTAAAGGCCCTGACACACCAAACTGACACCAAAGAACGCGTCCCGACGGAACACGACTGTTGTGTCGCCTCAAGTCTCCTGCTTCTTGGCCAACAGTCGCACTGGAACACACCGCAAAGACTTTAGCCGACGGCCAAGTAGCACGTACGAACTGCGCATGCGTGAGTGGCAATAACTCTCCTTACCAGCAGGCGGCGGTAGTGTGTATTCGTCATTCAAAAGAGGCAACAACCGGAAGCCAGAGAAGAAGAACAGACTCCGTGATATAAACAAACAACAAATAGCGTGTGCGTTCCATTTTCACTCTCGTCCATCGAAAACATGTCTCGTGCGGTACTGGAGCTATCAGCCATTGGAGTGTTGCTTGCGGAAGACATTCTTTGTGCCTTTTTAAAGCGTTTGTTTACGTCCCTCACTTCCGTTTCGCTTCTCATGCACTGATTCGCTAGCTGAACAGCCAATCAGAGTGATTTATTTGGCCCGGCTGCCCGACCCGACGCATGGCCGATTCAAATGCGTCGGCCATGAAAGTCCAAATAAGGCGTGTCGCGGCCGACGGTGCGGGACACACCAAATTGAGTTTGGGCGACAGGGCACGCTTCGTCGTCCGACTAACGAAATCGGCTAGGTGTGTCCGGGCCTTAAGACCAAAGAAGACAGTAATATTGACTGCTCCACTACACTACAGTCTATTCCGTACCTGTATTGCCTCCTGCTCTACTTTTTTCTTGAGCAGGTTGACATCGTCTAGCAGCGGCCCGTCCGTCTCCATGTCCATCGGACCATCGCAGCCTATCGAGTCAACGTATGGCAAAAACTGTTAAGGGAGAGAAGCAGGAAAGGTGAAAAGGCATCAAGAAACACTTTGATAAATGTTCACTAACTTCGGAGAACTCCGTGACCTTTTCTCTTCCGTTTGTTTCTGACCATGCTGTTGCATGGTGCATACTAACACCTCATCAGTCAGAAAGATGTCTACCGTATTGATTTATGAAAAGGTTAAAATGTTGCTGCTCACCTGTGGGTTTGACTTTGCAAGATTCTCGATCTTCAGCCACGCTTCGTCCCTCTCTTTCCATTTGGCTTTCTCTCTGTGACGAAACAAAAACAATCTTAGAATTCGACTGTTATTGGTATCAGCTCAGTTTCTTCGTGACATACCGAGTGCCATTCTTTTCATATCAAATAAGGTTTGTGTGATGTTTTCTTTGACATGTAATGAGACCATAAGATGTGACGTCTCCATTGGGACTTACTTGCTTTTCTCGGCCCTGAACTGTTGGGTGCAGTCATCAAACAGCTTCTGGTTCATTTCCATGAAGAGTTTAAGAGCATTGTAGATCAACCCGTGGATCGTCCTGCAGAGAGACAAAAAGTACAACAATTTGCTGGATTTAATTACTTTCCAATTGTTCAAAAACTAGCATCACGCCAAGACACAATGGAAAGCTTGAGTAGGGTCTCACTTGTTCCAGTGGGTCTTGGAGTTGCGGTAGAGCGAGGGGAACATGATAGGAAGGATCTTGGCAGCGTTGTCGCTGATCAGGCTCATGATGTACTCATTGTTCCAGTAGTACAGAGCTCGCTCTGCCACCTGAAAACAGAGGAGTTTAGATGAGTTACAAATGCGTATAACAGATCATCTAAAAGTGTGTACTGGGATGGATGGCTGTCGGACCTGGAAGTGTGGGCTGGACACACACTTGGCCAGCTGTCTGAAGAGCGGCTCCATGACTTTGACAAACTCCGACGGCTCGATGACGTCCAGGATCTCCTCCAACTCGTTCAGGAACATCACCTCTTTTGGACTGTGGGTCTTCGGCCAGTACTTCAACAACGCCATTACGGTCTGCGTGCAGCAACAAAAGATAATGGTAAAAGAAGAAGAAGAAGAATGAATGAATGGATGGATGGCAGATCTATCAAATTAATCATCTGTTGATGAAGTGACACTCAGGGACAGTTTTATCCCACAGGCCATAAGACTGCTAAACGCCTGAGCTCTGTTAAGTGCCCCGATAAACATTCCTGTTGCCATCTTGCAATATACTCATTTATATAAATAGTTATCAATGCAATAAACCGTATTTAAATTTTGTATTTAACATTATTTAATTTCATATTCTGTTCTTGTACATATCCCATATTCTATTGA